ATAAGAAATCCGGTTTTCATTGTTTGCCTCATTGTCAGAACCATTCGTGTTCTGATACTCTTGTTTTAACCTCCCCAAAATTCCAGAATTCCAGCACGATTCAGTCCCTACATCTGAGCTTGATACAGATAATGTTCCAATATCCGTAGCACTCAAAGGTGACTCACGGTCGAAACTACTAGTTGGAGTCACACACGGCCCTCTAATCATATTCCACTCTTCAAACTGGCTATTCCTACGTTCTGAATAAGATTCCGAACACAGAGGCACTTCACATACCGTCTTTGGAGAATTGACCAAATTCAACTGAAGAACCATTGGCCCAGATCGTTTCATAACCACAACATTGCATTGCAGGTTCTCCAAGCAGTGTTTCTTTTCACATTTCAATTTTCTGCACAAGTTTGCAATACGATTGATTACTTGAACCGGAAGTAAGGGAATGAAACAATATTCTGGAGAAAAAGCTTTCGTCCACAAAAATTTTTCGAATGAGGATTAACGTTGTGCTATAGCAGTTAATAGTAGAAATTAAGGTTACATTAAATGTATTACTTGTCCAATATAACCCAGTTTGATTGAGCTTTCTTTGCTTCGGAAGCCACAACACCACACGGTGAGCCAGAGACAATCTTTATTCGGACCTTTATCTGTGAAGAAAAATATGGACATAGATAAGTATTAGTTGTAAAGCATGTAAGGACTAAAAATTGGGTGCGAAACGACATTGATGCACTGACCTTCTCTGGATCATAAACCTCTCGGAGTTGCAGCATCATCTGAGAGCATGAGTCCACAATGTCATCCTTGTTATCTAACATGGTTCCTGAGAGAGACCTCCGGTGACTCGTGGTGCAATCGTTGGTAAATCTTGCAAAATCCCATATACTTTTACCTAGACAGATGATGTTTTCAACAACCATCAACTCTGGCCACATTGATATAAACTCGAGCACAAAACAAGGAGTAAAAATTTACCAAACAAAAATCAGACATCTTATGCATAAGTCAACTTGGTTTTGGAACCGATATCAAAGCTTCCAATTTGTCAAACACCTTTATCAAAATTAGTACCCGACAGACAAATCCAGAGGAAGTGTTAACCATAACATATTTCCAATTCACTAGAAATTTCCCTAGTGATCGAACTTCTTACATTCGTAGGAGAAAAAGATTATGTCATAAAAAAATTAGAACACCAATCTTAGACATGCCACACTAAATAATTTGCTTGTCAATCTAATGGGGAGTGGGATCTGGACTTGGCGCAAGGGATGGGCATACTGCCTTGACCAACTAGCCTAACCCAGAAGTGCAATTTCTTCGATCGAAAGAAAAGGAATATTACTTACTTGAGTGAGAAGGAATGACAGCCAAAAGCTTGACATAATCACCAGGCTGCACAACATGAGTCAAAGTCCACACCAGAGCAGTCCTTGGAATTTCCTTCAATGCTTTCACAGCCACCACCACAACTTTCCCATCACCCTGCTCTTTCATGACTCAGCACACCCAGAAATTCTGAAATTCTACACCCCCCACAATTCCTCAACACACCCCACAATCAAAACCCGCATCCAGATTCTCCATCACAGACCGTACAGTTCATAAAAAAAAAGCCAAACACAGAAGCAGAAAAGCATGCATAAATCACTCTGGGAATAAGCAGAAATTATGAAATTCTGCACCCCAACACTAACTCAACACACCCCAAAATCAAGACCCACACCCAAATTCTCCCTCACAGGCCGTACAGTTCATAAAGAAAAGCCAAACCCAGAAGCAGAACAGGCATGTATAATCACTATGGGAATAAGCAGACAAATCTGAAATACTACGCCCCGACAATCAAAACCCACATCCAAATTACCCCTCACAGGCAGTCCAGTTCACAAGAAACAAAACCCAGAAGCAGAAACACGCACTAATCACTGTGGGAAAAGCAGAAACGATTATATCATGACAGGCACAGAAACCAAATGAATCAACTTTTCGAGCCTTTACCCAGACGAAGAAAAAAATAAAAAACAGGCACACAACAGAAGCATGAAAGTAGGAAGCCTACGCGCACTGTCTTCAATGTGTACCTTAACAACACACTGACTCACTCTGCCGTTAAAGCCACGAGCTTTGGGATTATTGCAAAAACAGAGCAAATATATTTCTCAAACAAAAAAGTATGGATTTTTATTTTTATATTTTATATTTTATATTTTTGCATGAATTTTGATTAAGCCGTGGAGGGAGGGAGGGAGAGAGAGAAGGAGAAGCAGGTGGCCTAAGTTGGACTTTTATGTTGGTAGATTCTTACTCAGGACTATGCATAATTGTGAGAAAGAAGCGCCAAGGAGAAAGCATGTAAAACGACAGAGGGAAAGATTAGGTTTTAGGTTAAACGACAATGACTGGTTTATAAATATGTAAGACGAGATCTTAAATAGTACATACACCAATGATTGGGGTGGAGGTGGAGGTGGAGCTGAGCTTCTTTTTCTTGCACTCTCTAACCACTCTTTGAAAACAATTTCTATGTCCTATTCTCTAGTAAGAAGTTATATGAGAAAGTGCTTAGTCAGTTGTAATCATTTGATTTATTGTTTGACTAATGTTCCTTATTATCACCTAACCTCGTAACTAGGGATATTAGGTGTCGATGATTCGTAATATTAGGGGGCATTTTTGTTCAAAACTCTTTAGTGGTAGTAATATCACCACTCTACTTATTACTATTTGATATGTTTAAATTTTGAAATTTGTGTCTATTCCCTACACAGATCTTCAAATTTAAACTCATTAAACGAGGATAAATAAAGTGGTGAAATTTAAACTCATCTAACAATAATAAATAGGATGATGGTGATCATCACCATGCTCACCATAACTTGAGAGTAATAAGTAAAGATATTCCAGTAACACTATACAAGTTGTTAATCATCCAAACCTCATTAAAAACTTTAATTAACTATCATATTAATTGTATTTTTATTTATTTATTTATTTTTTTTGTTATATTGTATGTGATAGTGCAAACTTAAGCTTATAGGGATAGGACCACACACTCGAACCCTAATGGGTTAAACATTGGAGGGACATCTTAAAAGATGCCTCCTCTCCCCATAGAGTTTCTTCAAAGATTAGGACCTTAGAGATAACATGTTTCCAGTGCCTTCGTTTTCTTCAAGTCAAAAATAAAAGACATGTTTTAGTTTTCTTTAATGTAGTATTCATACATGCATGTAAAACATGGGCACATTTTATGTAGGCTTCTTTATCAAAAGTTAAAACATCTTGAAGTTATTACTTTTGATCGTAATCTACAACATTCACCAATGTTACTATAACATCAACTTATTTTATACCGAATTTTGGGGACCAGCTGATGTGAAAATATCAATGAAACTTAAAGACTAATAATCTCGATTACCTTTCTGAATGTCCATCCTATCAGGATTTCCTTTTCCATCCATGGCAAATGATCAAACTTAAAATTTTCCGGCTCAGCGAGTGTGGGAAGAGCTCTTTAAAATACAATTCATTTTTGCGGGTGAGCCAAATGATGAGTCTACCTCTACCAAGTTCCTCTTACTGGGAGGATTTGATCATAATATGTCAGTTAGAATGATACGTTGCTTTTGAGTTCAATTTCATTGCTCCAAATCTTCTTTGTTCGATTTTGCCTCTGCTCCTAGGGATGTGAAGTTGTGGTGGCGGATGCGCATAAGGACGTGCTGTAGTGAAGGGCCATTGCGCGATCAACGCACTAAATGACATGAAACGAATAAAATATTATCGCATAAGTTGGTAAGTATCTTAAAAGTTGGCTTATATTGTTCTCTTTCTCCAGAAAGGAAAATGTAGGGCATCTTAGGGAGGTAAACAATTGGGAACTTTATGGACTTGGAATCTTAAATTTAATTAAAGTCTGAGTCGACTTGCTTTTCCCTTTAACCAAAGGAGTTTTCAATATGCAAAGTTTTGGTGCGTTAACTTTAGCTTGATAAAGTTGGCCATGATGAGAGTCTTGAGAGACATGCTGAAGAAAACGATATCGAGGAAGCAATAACACGCATGCATGCATGATTGCAACTTTTGTCATGAGATATACAGATGTTATGAGATTATGACAAACGATAAGATAATTACATTAAATTTATCTAAACTACAAGAAAAAAAATTTAAACTTAAATTCAGGCGTTATCTAAACTTAATTAATCAACTTGACTAAATTCAAACGTGATCGTGAAATGGTCTTTCAAGACAATCTATTAACCTAGGCCAAAACTTCAGCCTCGTGATTAGTGAATGAAGACTCTGCACTGAATGTCACAATTACTTAGTACAACTACCTAGTGCATGATGATATATGCAAAAGCTTTTGTTGTCAGATCTTATCTCCAACATGCATGATTAAATTATAAAGATGCTCTCATTGATCAGAATCATATTCTTATTTCTTTGCTGAGCACTAGTTTAAGTTGAATATAGGGCTTCAAGCAAGGTATTTTATCATGTCAAAGTGTTTGATCTTATGATTTTCACACGAATCTTTCAATCTCTTACACTTTCTTTTAAATGTATAAAAAGATAAAATAGTCAAATTAGAATGCAGATACGAGGTTCAAAATTATTATCTTTATTCTAAGTTAACTTTTTGACATAGGCTTAGGCTTCTCATTGGCTTTTCTTAGTCTACAACAAAGAATTTTTTTTTCAATGGACCATATTTCCAGCACATTGAAAAAATATCACATGACATAGACTGTGATATTGAAGGATTGATTTTTGCTTAGTTTGACTAATTTACCCATGTTCTATTAGATTGTTTTCTCTCTAAATATTTTTTGAACTAAGGGGTGGTTTTGGTATTTTATTATTTTTATTTTGTTAAGAGTAAATAGTCATAAGGAGTATGGGCCCAGTTTAGGCCGCCATGCCAACAGAGCCCAGTTTAGGCGGGCCGGTTTTTTTATTTTCCATTTTATATGGACAAAATGGTATTTTTGTGCGGCAATAATCTCAGCGCTGATAAAGGGCGCGATTAACGGTCGTCTTATTTCCGGAAAGGGGACCCGGAGCCTCAAATGGTAGCCGGCAATTCGACCGTTGCCGTGTCAAGGTTGAAGAGGGAAGATTGCAAGCGCACCAAACACGACTCTCACTTCTCCAATTGGAAGGTAAAATTTCTCTGCGTTTTTATGGGATTGAAGTTTTAATTTTTTTTTTAATTTAATCTTAGAATTTGAGGATAAATTTGAAATCTTTGGAGATTTCTCTACTGATTTCAGTCACTGTTCGGTTGAAAATTTTCAAATTTACTCCAGATCTTTGCCTTAAATCTTGTTTCTCTGATTACCCAGATTCCAGAATCTAATTTTACATGGTATTTACAATCTGGGTTTGTTGACTTTAATCTGGAATTTTAGGATAATTTGAATTTAATCCCAAATATTTACCTTATATTATGTTTCTCTGATTACCCAGATTCCAGAATCCAATTTTATTTGGTATTTATGATCCGTGTTTTTTTGGTTGTTCTGTATTTGTTATTGTGAATTTAGATTCTGGTTGGCCCTTCTGATTGGGAAGACTATTCGCTGGGCAAAGAAGGAGCTGAAAGATACAGAGTTCATAACCTCCCCAAAAAGGAGAGTCCGGGTGTCTATGAACTCGGGATTTCCGTTTCGCGTACCGGTCTAGGCCGTGAGATTGGGAAGCTTGACCCCGACTGCATAGTCCCGGTGTACCTTGGACAAGCTGATAATGTGAGGACACGGCTTCAGCAATACGGTCGTTCAGGTGCGCATTTGGGCAATGGCAGCTCAACTGGTCATCCTACTGACTCTGTGCAAAAGGAAAAGGGGCCAGGATTGTTTGCAGAGATACTGTCAAAAGGCTACCCCATTGCGTATAGATGGGCTCCTGTAAGTATATCTCAATCTTGTTTTGTCTAAAGTTCGAAATTGACTTGGGTTTTCTGGGAGAGATCGGTATTGATGCTATTGTGTTTTAGGCGATGATAAAGAATTAGATGTAGTATGTTGAAGAGTGTTAAATCTCATGTCGGAAACTTGACAACATAAAATACAATATGTAAGCAAGTTGGTTCCACTACTAATAACGCCGAGGTCTTTTGCAATAACACTTCACACTAGCAAGACCATACTTAAATGCAAGCTAGGGATAATGTCGGTGTTAGGCCAGTTGGTAGTAGGCTGCTAGTGCGCTCGTCTGAAATCTTGAGATAGCATGCATTTGCTAAGTTACCACTGTCATTCTTGCTAGTTGAAGAAATTGGATATTATGACGGTGATTATTGATTCTTTGTTGATTGTCAAACAGATGGAAAATAAAAGCGACGCACTGAAAACAGAAACTCAGCTCCTTGATACATTTGATTATGCATGGAATACAACCATTAATGGAGCAAGGCGCCCTGATGATGTCCTTCGAAAACTCAAGAAGTTTTCTTCAAGCACTACGCGATTTGCTAACTTTGCCGAGAAGCTTCTGCCTTTCAGTCAGAAGAAAGTGGGCATCAGAATTGAATCAAGCAAACCAATGGGTGACAAATTTGGTGCTTATGATGACAGGGAGATCCACAAATCCCCTTTTCGGGTCTTCAAGCTCAGCAGATCACAGCCTAGGTTGGTTTCATATGGAAGCATTACTGAGGAGAATACTAGTATAATTTGTGGGGTGGTTATAGGAGATGGTTCTGTTTGCAGAACGGCACCAGTTCCAGGAAGAAAGAGGTGTGCTGAACACAAAGGGATGAGGATTAATGGGTCAACCAGAGTTGGGATATCAAGCAGCAATGTCGACTCACAGTGCCCCATTATTAGCAACCATGATCCAGTAGAGCTTCCTCCAGTTGAAGTTCCTGCTAGTGAAATCTTCGTTCCAATTTGCGGATTCATCTTGGCTAATGGATCGCCTTGTGGAAGGCATCCGATCCGAGGGCGGAAAAGGTGTGATGAGCATAAAGGGAGAAGAATTCATAAAGGGGACTAAGCATTAGGTCTCAGTCCGCCGCCCAACTAACATCTAGCGTCTTTTAAAACCTACCATAGTTGTTTTATCTTCCTTAAATTAATTATATAAATTGGAGAATGTAGGCGTCAATTTGTTGTTGATTGTTATTTATGCCTTGGAAATAATGTTGTAGCTGTCTGTATTGGTACATGCCCTTTAATTTATTGTTGTATTGGCCAAAAAAACCAATAACATTGTTGTACCAGCTTGTTGTATTACATGTCATTTATATTGAACTCAAATTGTGTTCTATGATTCCGAAAATTCTATTATATAACTCTTCACTTTGATTCATAATATTTAAAATCGATGGATTTGATTATTGGAATTGTTCACCGTCAATCATTTTGGTATTTCTGTAAGAAATATTCATTAAATTAAGGATATTTTTGTCAAATTAATGCGTTCCATTAATCTAGTGCTTTCTTCAATGAAGATTTTTCACAAAATAATAGACGATGGTCAATGCTAGAGGTCACTTTTATCAATTTTAAAATTAAAAAAAAAATCAAAGTGAGAATTTATAAAAATCTTAAAAAGCATTATAACTACAAAATCTTTTTCTGTTTTAGATCATCTCTGGGTTATTTAAAATAAAATCTAATGTACTTTTTGACAAAATAAAGATAATGTTAATAAAACCACACAAAGATAAAGCAACCACTTAACCTGCGCACGCACGCTCGTCGCCCCATTTCACTACTGCCCTTCCCTATCGTGCGCCGCAGCAGCAGTAGCCATCTCCGATACGATGCCAGCCGGCGATCTCAGGTGCGCAGAGTGGTCCTCGGACGCCGAGTGGGAGGCCTGGGTGTGGACCCAGATCAAAGCCGAGGCGCGGGGCGATGCCGAGTCGGAGCCGGCTTTGGCCAGCTACCTCTACTCCACCATACTCTCCCACTCGTCGCTGGAGCGGTCGCTGTCGTTTCACCTGGGGAACAAGCTCTGCTCCTCCACCCTCCTCTCCACGCTCCTCTACGACCTTTTCCTCAACACCTTCTCCTCCGACCCCTCCCTACTCGCCGCTGCCGTCGCGGATCTTTGCGCGGCCCACGAGCGCGACCCCGCTTGCGTCTCGTTTTCCCACTGCCTGCTCAATTATAAAGGCTTCCTGGCCTGTCAGGTAATTTGTTTAATTTTTAGGGCTGGTAATTTAGTTTCCTGTTTGGATTCCGAGAAAATGTTAGGAAAATTGAATGAATTTATTTGGTTTATGCATCGAGTCAGGTTTGTTCCTGTCTGGATTCCGAGAAAATGTAAGAAAAATTGGACGAAGTGATTTGCTTTTTTAGGCGCGCATCAAATCAGATAGTTAAGTTTCTGCTTGGATTCTGAGAAAGTGTAAGAAAATTGCATGAATTCATTTTATTTTTCAGGCGTGCACCGAGTTAGGTAGTTAACCTGTTTGGATTGCGAGAAAATGAAAGAAAATTTTAACAAATTTATTTGATTTATAGGCGCATCGAGTGGCGCACAAGCTGTGGATTCAGAACCGTAGGCCGCTGGCGCTTGCGCTGCACTCGAGGATCGCGGACGTGTTCGCGGTGGACATACACCCAGCGGCGAGGATCGGAAAGGGGGTGCTGTTCGACCACGCGACAGGGGTGGTGGTGGGGGAGACGGCGGTGATCGGGAACAACGTGTCAATACTCCACCACGTGACGCTGGGTGGCACCGGGAAAGCCGGCGGAGACCGGCACCCGAAGATCGGCGATGGGGTTTTGATCGGTGCGAGCGCGACGATTTTGGGGAATGTGAAGATTGGGGAGGGCGCAAAGATTGGGGCGGGGTCGGTTGTGCTGATTGATGTTCCTCCGAGGACCACGGCGGTGGGAAATCCGGCGAGGTTGGTTGGCGGGAAGGAACGGCCGTCGAAGCACGAGGACGTACCTGGCCAGTCCATGGATCACACCTCGTTTATGTCGGAGTGGTCCGACTATATTATATAGAAATTTAAAAGTTAGTTTCTTGTTCGTTATGTTAGTTATAGGATAATAAAGAATCCCACGAATCTGCGGTGATTGTCATAACGCCATAAAAACAAAATTACGAGATGTTTTGTTTGCTCGATTAATTCTACGTTTTATTCAGGATGTTATTGAAACTCAAATGAAGGAAGAGATTTTCACTGCATAAGATAATGACCATCTTTTGCCTTCTCCATATGTACATTGAATGAGAATCTTCTCTCCTAATTATGCATTGCCCTGTTCGGGTACCTCTTGCACAAAATAGTCTAATCGAAGATTTTTGCTACCTTAATTGGTGGAACCATTATTCGATTAGACTATTTTGTACAAGAGGTACCCGAAATGTACAAGGAAGGGATTTCTCCTACAGATGGACTATTATTCAGCTTCAAAGAATGAAATGTACAGCTGAAAAGGGTATGAGTGGTACAACAAGTAAACCTAATTGACGATTCAGAAGGGAAGGAAAAATTCCCAATCATTGTGTAGGACTTCAGAAATGTAAGCTGTGGCTGTACTCAAAGAACGTATTTTGGGGTTTGAGAACAATCAACTGCTGCACTTGCGAGAGGTTTGTCAGGATTCAATTAGTTACCTGATAAGCCAACTTCATCCGAACTAAATCAAATGGATAAGTAAAAAGCGCAGCTGTTCCTCCAGCAAAAGATCCTGCCACAAGATCAAGACCAGGTCCCCGCCCCACTTCAGGAAAGGCGAGAATAATCCATCTGCGGTATTGCTCATAAGTCATATAATGCAGGGCTGCATATGGAACAATTCTTGCAACACAAGCTCCATTTCCCCTGTAGAAAAACTCGTAGTTGATTGAAAGCATGAAAACAACCTTCACATAAATGACTCGTTACTCAAGTATCCATCTGTAGAAACCCATAGGCCCTTCTGTCTTTGCAGTTTTCTTAATGGATCCAAAAAGTCCGATGCTCTGGTATTCTGTTCTTCTGGTCTGCAAAGGATAAACAAATAAGCCATCATATGTGCGTATCGAGGACAGCTTACTTGTTGGTAAATCCAATTAAAGTTGGCAACTTGTTTCTTACTGCTATGTGAAAGAAGAGGGTATATCTTAAACTTCGATTTTCCACCTCGGGGAAGAACACCAAAATCCGAACCACAAAACTTGCAATCGAAGTTAACTCCTGTACTAAATACTTCTTCTCTACTTTTGTTTTTGGTTTTCGGATAGGAGAAGGAGAATTGAGTGGCATGCACCCACAAGTTATCTATCTAGTATTCGTCCGAAAACCTTACAGTGTACTGACCATGGATATAAAAATAATAAAAAAAATTAAAAAAAAAGTATCGGAAAATCGAATCGAACAGAAACAAGCCCTTGAATCAATTTATTTGATCACATTGTTACTCAATCGAATCAAACAGCCAACAGTACCCCATTTGCACAATCCATTCAATTTAGTACTACTATACTCAAAAGCAATTATGGGCGAGCCTTGGCACTACAGAAAGATTACGTGACCAAAAGGTATGAGTTCGAGTCGTGAAAACAATCTTTATGCAAAATAAAGATAAAACTACGACTATAGATTGTTTGCCCCACTCTAACAAAGTAGGGAGGCTTGTTGGCTTCTTGTCGGCCCTTTTTTTTCACTCAAAAGCAATCATCTTGAATCAAAACTCAATCTACCCAACGAACAAATCCAATTAACTTAAACACCCAATAAGCTAAAAGTAAAACTGCATTACTAATTTTTACCGTGCAGAAAATCAAGAACCAAAACATTCAGTAACTTTCCAGCAAAAAGAAGAAAACAATAACCGAATCATGTCCAAAAACTTCAAAAGAATTTCACGCAATTTGTTACCTGAAACAAAATCTTGATACGTTCGAGTGGCGCAACCACTTTTTTTGCAACCCCGCCGGCGATCAGCTCCTTGACGAACACAGGCATGGACTCTAATATTCCGTCCGGGTAGACGTTCATCTCTCTCTCTCTTCCCTCTTCTCTGCCATTGCGGCAAACTTTGACACGAGAGAGAGAGAGAGAGAGATTCTGGGTTTGTGATTGAAGGAAGAGTTGGAGCAGAGAGGAAGGTAGGAAGGGGTTGAAGGATCGAAACGTTTCTTTTGGTTGTGGATTTTATATGTAGGGGGGGAGGGGGGAGGGGGGGGGGGTGCGGGGGGTGGGGGGAGGACAGCTGACAAGTCATAGAAGCACTCGCTTGACTAAGGCCTGATTTGGTAAGATTCTGAAAAAAGTTGGTATCAACAAAAGTTAGGAGATATTTTTGTGTTTGGTAAACATTCAGCTTCAGCTTTTTTTCACAGTTTTGGGTGAAAAAAAGCCAAAAACAAGAAGCTGCAAAACCCAGCTTTGAAAAATTGGCTTTTTTTCACATCTGTTTTACATAAAAGTTTACCAAACACTATAATAATGCTTTTTTTTTTTCAAAAGCACTTTTACAAAAAAGTTTATCAAACACTCTGCTGCTTTATTTCACAGCTGCTTATTCTCACAACACAGCAGAAGCAGCTTTTTTTCAAAGCACAGTAATACCAAACCAGCTCTAAGATTACCATTTTTTAATGTAAGAGAGAGGAATTGTTGGGTGCGGAGTTTTTGTTCAACTGCTTTCAGTTCTAAATTATCTGTTTAGATCAGGACCGTCCAACTGTGCCGGCTAGTTTCAACTTTCAATCATGGCCCTTTGAGTGTAGCATTTGGGCACTCAAAACAAGTTCGATGCTGTGGACGGATCGACAAACATCAAATTATGTGATGAGGCTCTAGTTAAAGTGTTTATATAACATTAAATTCGAATTCAAACACTAAATAATTTGTAATTCAGTTAGTTAAGATCGTTTACTTATACAACTAAGGAATTGAATTCTTAACAAAAAATGTAAAAAATATCAAGATTATTAGGGCATGTTTGGTATTTTACTTAAATCCAACATTTTAAACTCAAAAACAATTTTCAAGTTTTAGACTTTAAAAATTTGTTTGGTACGACTATTTTCAAAAACTAGACTCAAAACTAACTCAAAAATATAGTATATTATCTAAAAACATAAAAAGTAAGTTTTTAAACTTAAACTGACTCATTTCTTTTCTCTCCCTTCTCCCCTTTCACTCCAAATCTATCTCTCTTTTCTTCTTCTCTTTTTTTTTTTTTTTTTTTTTTACCTTTTTCGTCTCTCCTCCAATCTGCTCTCTTTGTTCTCTCGGTTCTTTCTCTCACTCATCTTCCTCTCTATCTCGTCCAATCCTCTCTCTTCTTTCTCTTTCCTTCAACTATCGCTTACTTTCTTTCCTCCTCTCTCTTATTTCTTCCTCTCATGTGACCCCCTTCTTTTTAGACCTCTTTGTCTAGTTTAAGTCGTAAGATTTAAAAATTTTAAATCGTAAATCAATCAAATTTTTTAGTCTAAAAAAAATTGTTTTCAAGAAATGTTTTGAGAAATGATAAAAATTTTCAAATAAGATACCAAACAAACCCTTAAATATTAAGACTACATAAAACATAGTTGACCAGAAAATCTAAGTAACTATATCTTAAAACTTGAACAGGAAAATAAAAATAAAGTGTACACATTATCTTTCTTGAAAATAGTTCAAACAAATTCGAAAATTTCAACGTCGTTATAGCATATTTGTTTCTTATTTAATTTTTTTTTTCAACTCTTCTAACGTAGATGTATCATTTTATAAAATAAAAAAAAATTGAAATTTTTCCTTACTCAACTCGGATATCAAATAAAAGCAGATTTCTTTTAGGAAAAACTAACCAAAACCCCCAAAAAACTTTCCTTTTAATCACCAGGACAAATTTTTTTGATAATACCCAAACTGGGCATAAGAAAGATGACAAAGGAGGGCTCCAGGGAGACAAAATATGCAGCAACCCTTGAAAACCTTTAGACAATAATTGAATGCAGAATGACAAAGTAAGGGCATGGGCTCTAGAAGATAAACCATGCAGGAGGATTCACATGGGTTCACATGGCCTTTATCAAAGCAAAAGAAAGACAAGACAAGATCTCGTCAGAATCAGAAACATTGTCTACAGATTCAGAAACAATGAGAAAAAGGGAAGATAAGGCACACCATTCAATTAGAATTTTGTATTTTGGTATCATCATTTAGTGTAGATAAGGAGAAATTCCTTTCATTGTGAAACCACCTCTCAACCTCCCAAAATCTCAACACCTGAACATCCTACTCTCACCATATACTCACACCATCTTCACCCGTAGCCTTCATAGCATCCTTGTAAACACTTCCTTGTAAACACTTTCTTGTAAACAATTATCTTTGTAAACATTTTATATATAAAAAAAAAAAGTTCAAGTGTACATATTCAAGCAATTTCCAAGTCTTAAGTAAATTTTCTTTTCTTTCTTTAGTGTGTTTGTTTAATTAGACTTCTAGTCCAAAACAGGGAAATACTATTATAATTATATTATTAACCTGCTAAACTAACGATCATACTTTGTTCGAGCACTCTGTTATAGTTGAATGTTTGCCATGCAAATAACTAGACATTAACCAGGGTACCTCTGAGTTCTTCATACCTCTGAGTTTAGCTGTTAATGCCTTATACTTGTACTGTGAGTGGCCGTCATGCTGAAACATGTCGAGTTCTATGTGCAAGGTTTTATGTCTAACTGTTATAATGGTCATCCGACTATTTAATGGGGCCCTGCTTTGCAAATCTAGTATCAGAGTCAAGTTTAGCATTTTAATAGTATAATTATAATAGTAAAGTACCTTGAGAACGAAAGTCATTGATACAACTGATATCACACTTGTTTATTTTGTATGAACAACAGATATTATTGTCCTTGTAGACCTTGTCAACCACAACTACTAGGCATTTATTGGGTGTCTAGGAACCCAACTATAAATAGCATAAAGAGAAGATAATCCAACTATAAATAGTATAAAGAGAAGATTAGCATATATATCCAAAAGATTTAACAGGACTTTGAAGAAGTAGAAGTTTTATCTTGATTATCTTGAACATTCTTCATGTATTAGTAAATATAATAACACAGAAGTGCTGCATAAAGTTTTAGAAGCAAAAAGAGCAACATATCAAGTTTTAGAGACCTTGAGAGAAGAAAGAGTGTTTCTAAGAAACCTGTTAGCCGTAACTTTAGATAAATGTAGACTATAGTTTATGGTAGATTATCTTAATTTAGAAATTAATGAACCTCAAAAAAGAAAAATAACCTTAGACCAAAATAGTTTAATTTGTTATTTTTCATTGAGAAAGCATAATCATATTTTGCATAGTGAATAAAATCTACAAGCTAATAGTATTGTAAATCTTATTATTAGTCAAGCAAAAACTATAAAATTAGAAAATAATAAGCATAATCATTTGTTGAGAATAACACAGTTTGATGAAAGACCAGTTTATTTAACATATTGCATTAATAATGAGTCTATTAAAGTAGAAAAACAACAATTTAATTTACCATTAACATTTGTTTCACAGGTAGGATCATACCCATTCATTTTAGGTTTAAATTTTTTGAAAAGTTTACAATGTTTTTTTTATTTATGAATCCTAGCATAACACTTTTCAAAAGAGTCTTTACAATAACAGATTAAAGTAATATTGAAGAAGCATACAAAAGCATAAGTATAGAAGAGCCTAGTGGTCAAGATAGTTATTATTAGTCAAGCGAAAATTCTAAAATTAGAAAATAATAAGCATCATCATTTGTTAAACCAGTTGTTGAGAATAACACAGTTTGATGAGAGACCAGTTTATTTAACATATTGCATTAATAATGAGTCTATTAAAGTAGAAAAACAACAATTTAATTTACCATTAACATTTGTTTCACCGGTAGGATCATACCCATTCATTTTAGGTTTAAATTTTTTGAAAAGTTTACAAGGTTTTTTTATTTATGAATCCTAGCATAACATTTTTCAAAAGAGACATTACAATAACAGATCAAAGTAATACTGAAGAAGCATACAAAAGTATAAGTATAGAAGAGCCTACTGGTCAAGATGGTTATTATTTAGAAAATTCAAAAGAAAATGATGAGCATAATAATATAGAAGAGTTTGATGAAGAAATATTTGAACATGAATTTCCGATTTTAGAATAAGGAACCCATATAGAAATATTACAGTTCAATAGACCAAAAAGTTTAGAAGAATTATTTCAATTAGCATAACAAACTAGAATTATAGGAGAAGACCCACAGTTACATTGAAGTAAAAATAAAATATTAGCAAAATTAGATATAATTAATCCAGATTTAACCATTTAGACAGATATGCTTTGTAGTTTAGTAGATAAACAAGAATTTGAGCAGCAAATAAAAGAGTTGTTAAATTTAAAAGTAATTAGACCCTCTAAGTCTAGACATAGATCAACAGCATTTATTGTGAGAAAACATTCAGAACTAGAAAGAGGTAAGGTTATAATAGTTTATAATTACAAGAGATTAAATGATAATACATATTAAGATAATTATAAGTTACCAAACAATGATGAACTCATAAATAAAATTCAAGAGAGTAAATAATTTAGTAAATTTGATTGTAAATCAGGATTTTGGCAAATATGATTAGCAGAAGAATCAAATGAGTGGACAACTTTTACTTGTTCAAAAGGACATTTTGAGTGGCTTGTTATGCCATTTGGACTTAAAAATGCTTCATCGATATTTCAAAGAAAGATGAACCAAATTTTTAAGAAATATGATAATTTTTGTAGTATTTATGTAGATGATATTTTAGTACATAGTAAAAATAGAAATGAACATAGGAAGCACTTAGAGATAATTTTACAAGAATTTATCAATAATGGAATTGTGATTAGCAAAAATAAAATAGCATTAGAAAAGCAAGATATAGAATTTTTAGGAATGTATATGAAGTCAGGTACAATACAATTACAAGATCATATAGTTAAAAAGGTTTTAGAATTTCTAGACAAATTAGAAGATAAAAAACAGTTACAAGCATTTTTAGGATTGTTAAATTATGCAATAAATTTTATTCTTGATTTAGGAAGAAAAATAGCAGTATTACATAGTAAAACTAGTAGAACAAGACAAAAGTATTTTAATAGTGAAGGTATTAAATTAGTTCAAAATATAAAGGAAGAAATTACTAAACTTAA